GTTGCTGCTGCTGTGGCGGTTGCTGTTGCTGCTGTGGCTGTTGCTGCTGCTGTTGCTGCTGTTGCTGTTGCTGCCGTTGCTGTTGCTGCTGGTATTGCCGCCGCTGCTGCTGCTGGTATTGCTGCAGCAGCTGCTGGTAGTCTTGCTGCTGCTGCTGCTGCTGCTGCTGCTGCTGCTGGTATTGCTGCTGCTGCTGCTGTGCTTTTGTGTTTTTTTTTCTCATCAGGGGGCCTTGCTGCTGTCTCCGCAGCTGTCTGCTGCTCTTCCTTCTCTCTGCTGCAGCAGCATTTGCTGCTTCGCCTACGCAGCAGCTCTCTGTCTCTTCCAGATCATGCGGTGTGGTGCTGCTGCTGCTGCTGCTGCTGTTGCTGCTGCGGCTGTTGCTGCTGTTGCTGCTGCTCCTGTTGCTGCTGTTGCTGCTGTTGCTGTTGTTGCTGCTATTGCCGCTGCTGCTGCTGCGGCTATACTGGTGTAGGGGCAGCTTACGCTGCCCAGCTGCTGCTGCAGCTGCTCCTGCAGCGGCAGCTGCAGCAGCAGCTGCAGCAGCAGCTGCAGCAGCAGCTGCAGCAGCAGGTGCAGCAGCAGCTGCAGCAGCTGCAGCAGGTGCAGCAGCAACTGTAGCAGCAAGGTTTGTTTGCTGTTGCTGTTGATTTGTATTCCCAGGAAGGATGGAGTGAAGAAGACAGTGCAGCAGCAGAAGTTGCTGCTGCAGCAGCTTGATGCTGCTGTGCTGCTGCTGTCTCAGCAGCAGCAGCGGCTGTCGCTGCAGCAGCGGGAAACACTAAAGGAGATTTGTTTTTTCATATGCTGCATCACTGGCGCTGCTGCTGCTGCTGCTGCTGCTCCTGCTGCTGCTGCTGCTGCTGCTGCTGCTATATCTTCTGAAACGCGTGCATTTGCTGCTGCTGCAGTACTAGTAAAACCTGAGGGGCCCCTACCCCGGGGGCCCCCCGGCCTTGACTACAGCCAGATAGACCTCAAACCGGTAAAACCCACTTCTTCTCTTGCTGCTGCATGCATGCATGCATGCAGTGTATGCATGTATGCAGTGTATGCATGCATGCAGTGTATGCATGCATGCAGTGTATGCATGCATGCATGCATGCAGTGTATGCATGCATGCAGTGTATGCATGCATGCATGCAGTGTATGCATGCATGCAGTGTATGCATGCATGCAGTGTATGCATGCATGCAGTGTAT